TCAAGAACATCATTAAGGTTTTTATGAGAAACACCAAACTTCTTCAAAGTTCCTTCAAGTTTTGCAACTTGATCCTTAAGTGATATACAAGAACTACATTTTGAACTTTCCGGTTTGTCGGCGCTTCTTTTTCCGAAAAACTTATTTTCTTCTTTAAGTTTTTCATTATCTTTTGATAGTTTATCAACTTCCTTCTCCATGGAAGTAAGTTGTTTCTTCAAATCCTTGTTAATTTTAGAAGCGTTGACATATTCATCATAAAGTTCATTAAAGGCTTCTTGTACATCATCAAAAGTATAGGAATCTTTAAAAGTGGTACATACCTCTTCCGGTGGTTCTTCGTGTGCCATGAGGCAGAGGTTGGCGCTTTCATTCTCTTCGCCTTCCGATGACTCATCGCCGGAATCACCTCCCCATGAAATGTAAGCTCGGTGCTTCTTGAACGGTTTCTTCTCCTTCTCGTTTTTGGCGTTTGGGCATTTTGGCTTGATGTGCCCAACTTCTCCACACCCATAGCACTTGGGTGGTCCTCCATGCTTTTTTCCCTTTCGTTCATACTCTTTTCGCATGAACTTGTGGAATTTTTTGATGACGAGCCCGAACTCGTTGTCCTCATCGCTTGATTCCTCCATGGCGGGTTCTTGGCTTGAGGTAGCCTTGAGTGCAATCCCCTTCTTCTTTTGTTCACCTAAAGAAGGGAATAGAATGGTGGACTAATAGGTTTTGAGGCTACCTCTAAGTCCGTCAATGGTGACGTTGGTGATGCCGATGGACTCTTGAATGGCATCGGCTTTGGAGCGCCACTCCGGTGTGAGACTTCGCAGGATTTTTCTCACTAGCTCCTTGTCCGTGTACGTTTTCTTGAGAGCATGAAGATCATTGACGATTTTGGAGAATCGTTCAAACATCTCATCGATTTTCTCGTTTTCCTTCATACGAAACAATTCATATTCATGGGTTAGAAAATCAATTTTAGCTTCTCGGACTTGATCTGTACCTTCGTAGGTGATTTCTAGTTTGTCCCACATTTCCTTTGCGGTGGTGCAACAAGAAATCTTCCGGTAGTCATCGGGGTTAACGGCACAATAGATGATGTTGATGGCCTTGGCATTGTTTTCCACCTTCTTGATGTCTTGCGCATCATATTCATCCTCGGTCTTAGGGACGTTGGTTTCCTCGGCCTTCTTCATTGGCACGTTCTCACCATTTTTGATAATTCTCCAAAGGAGAAAGTTGGTGGATTGGATGTAAATCCTCATCCGCTCCTTCCAATAGGTGTAGTTTGTTCCGTCAAACAATGGAGGCCTCGTGGTGGATTGCCCTTCACTTAAACCTGCGTATGAACTTTGAGTAGAAGCCATTGATCGTTTCTCTCAAACGGTTAAGTCTTTCAGAGAGTATGGCTCTGATACCAATTGTTAGAATAAAGGCCCAACGCTAGAGGGGGGTGAATAGCGTTTAAAACAAAATCGCAGGAAATTAAAACGAGAGCGTTAAAGTAAAGAGCGTAAGGAAGGAGCACACCGGATTTTATCCTAGTTCACCACAGCGTGTGGCTAATCCAGCCCCCGAGAGACTCTCTCGAGCTACACTAACTCCGTTAAGCTTAAGGGTGCTTAACAAACCGATACAACTTGAGAACCCGAGTCACACGTGCCTCAACACCTTTACTCGGAGATACCGCACTCCAAGACTTCTCACGGAGGAACAAGTAATTTCCTTCGAGTTTACGACAAGGGAACAACCTCCCTTAAAGTGTATGAAGACACTTAAACACTCAGGAATAAAACTCTCACAAAGAGTAGATATGAGTGAACTAGTAAACGCTCAAGAACACGACAATTTCTTCAAGAATTGGCTCTCAAATAGCTAAAAAATAGGAATGCTTATGCAATGAAGGAGTATTGAAATGTTGAAGAATTGTGTATAAAATGAGAGGATTTGGGTGCCATTTTATAGCCCAAAATGGGATAAATCTGTTGCTAGAGTTTCCAACAGGATGAAGACAAATTTTTCAAAGACATAGGGTGATAGTCGATTGTCACAGCTTGATAATCGATTATCCAAAGAAACCCTGTCCAAAAATTTAAAATTCTATCCGTTGGAGGACAACGGTAACCCAGATAATCGATTGTCAACAAGTGATAATCGATTATTGGTCCTCTAAGAAGATTCTGGGTTTTGCGTGCTGATAATCGATTATTGGTCCTCCAGATAATCGACTGATAATCAATTATCGCAAAGCTGATAATCGATTATTGCGTGCTTCAGAACTTTGGAAGTTCATAGCTGCAGGGGCTGATAGTCGATTGTCACTAAGGTGATAATCAATTATCACCCAGCTAAAGTCTAGCCAGCAGAAACCCGTTTTGAAAAATCGAGGTCCAAAAACGAAGTGTTCCCAAAAATAAAAACCAGGTTTGGAAAATATTGTATATGGTATAAAATAGTGAAAACAAGACTTGTTTGGTAAAAACCAAGTCTCCAAGGTCGTATAATACGTGCTTACGGTTTAGACCGTTTTTCACGTGTTAGACCGATTGACCAAGATACAAAAGTGTTTTTTATAAAATAATTATTTGGGAACATTTTAAAAATGCTCAGAGGTAAAAACAAGGTTTAAAATATTAAAAACCACGGAGTTGGTCCGGGCGCCAAAAACCGAACGCCGAAAGCCGAACGTCGAAAGCCGAACGCCGACTTAGGTGGTTTTGGTTCTGAGCAAGGACCCGGGATTTTATCAATAAAAGAAATCATCAAAAATGTTTGTTTTGATGCACAAAAAATATTTTATGATTTGTAAAAAATTGTTTTGACTTTGTTTTGAGAACCGAGACTTGAATTTATTGTCGGTTTTGATCACAAAAGACCGACTCGACTAAGTCTTCGATTCCTGATCTTGTCCTTGAGTCTTTTAGGTCTTGTTCCAAGCCATTCTTCACGCCTTGAGTTATTCAACGAAACTCTTTATATCCACGGCGGTTTGGCAATTATCAAAACCTGTCAGAAATGAACACGACTTTAGTTTATCGTACAAAGTGTGTTCCAACAGTTATGTTGTGTGTTTTGTATTAATAGCCAATGAGAAATGAATAATACTTTAGTGTAATATGCTTATTTTTAAATTATTAAAGTAAATTTAGTGCTACAATAGACTTTAACATGAGGAGTGTGGATGAACAATAATATCCACTCTAAGAAGAGTATTGATTCCTTAACAAAAAGAAGAAGAAGAAGAGTATTAACAGTTTCTCTTTGCAACTTTGGTAGTTTGGTGTGTTCATTAGTGTGTTTTAAACAAATATGTAGTTTATTCATTGCACATTAAAAGACAGGATGCATGGCATATTACACCAGTAACATTCTATGAACTCTATTGGTTATATATACTACACCTTTACACACTAACTGACCTTAGTTTATTGCACTTTATATTGTTATGTTATATAGTTTATATTATATATGTGTGAATTTTATTTATGGGTTAATCGCATACAAGATGAAAATAGTATTTTAATGTAATATTCTTCAATTCATTTTAGCAATACTTGGATCCATTGTTTGCTCAACTTATTGCAGTTTGTTCATTAAACATTTTTAATGTTGATACTTATATTACACTTTTCATAGGTTCTCAACATTTTTCACTTATCATATTGCATATTTTAATGTTCCTAATGCACTTACCTTAAGTATATAGTACATTATACTACTCCCTCCGTCCCAAAAAGAATGTTACATTTCATTTTTTCGCGCATCACAAAAAGCACGGCTACTCACATCTAAAAATTCTAAAATTTACCATATTTACTCTTTATTATAAAATGAAATTGTTTTGAAAGTTTTTTTGGCATTTGAGACGATATAAAAGTGTTTTAAGGGATGTGCAAAAAATGAAACGTAACATTTTTTTTGAGACGGAGGGAGTACTATACAGGTTTGCTGCACCATCAAAAGTATGCGTGCCTATATCAAAGTTGGGAACAAACAAGTCCAGTAAGCATTTCAAATATGCAGAAGAAATTGAGGAAGAAGAAAGCAAGGAGGCAAAACGTTAGTGTAGAATGTAGAATTAAATAGGTTTTCATGTATGTCAATAGCAATTGTCCTTCATGTAATTTTAGAGATTTATTTATTATGTACTGAATCTCTTTTAATATCAATTTGTGTTGTTTTTCTCCACCTAATGCTTTCATTAGTTATTTTCTCCCATTTACAAGTGCACTTGAAAACCAACTCAAGTGCATTTTTCTTATATTGAAAATGTATTGTATATTATTTTTCATGTCATTTATACTATAAATTTATGAACTTTGTGTGTTATGTTGGAAAAAAGAAGAGAGGTTTTTTAAACGAAAAAGATGAGAGAATAATACCTTATAATTTTTTATGTACTTTAAGGACAAATATACTTTATTATTTAATTGGTTAGGGTTAATGGATTTTTTTCAGTTTTTCTCTTCTCGGCTTAGATCCTTAAATTCTCATGACCGACGCTAAATTATTTAATAGTAATGCAATTTGGAAGTCTAAGAATGATATCTGACTGCTGAACACATTTGCGCACATATATATAGAAGAAATCATTGTGTAAGCACGAAGGAAAAAAACCATATACTTATTGGCCTGCAAACTTCTTTGATGCACAAATTTACAATGAAAAATAAATTATCTAAAGCTAAAAAACAGGACTCATCTCAGAATGCATTGTGAAAATATGAGAATGTATTATGGAAATTATAGAATGTGTGTGGAATTAGGTGAATGTGTTGAATGTCTGAAAAAGCATTGTGGAATTGTTAAAGTGCACTATGAATTCTGATAATAACATCATTTACACGAGACCCCATTTGCGCATGGAAGAAATCTTTGTATGTTTAAAACATGTAGGAAACACCTTAATTTTGCTTTGAAAAAGGACCCAATTTACTTATTTATCCTACAAAATTCTAAGATGCAACAGATTTGCACAAAAAGTACGGAGTAACTTATCTAATAGAGCTCAAAATTTAATTAAAAATGAAGACTTGTTTGGGAATGCACTGTGGAAATCCAAGAATGCACCATTTAAGTATGGAACCCGACAACATATTCTTACGACCCTTCTGTTTTCCGAAATATGAGATGCATTAATTTACCATCATGACCTTAATCTCACATTTTGGTCCTTTTCTTCTTATGCGTAATTGAATCTTACCATATGTGGAAGTCAACGTATGTGGCGATTACTTCACATCTCATCCATTCGATCAGGCTTAATCTATGGCTGCAATCCATTCTTATTTCTTTCATTGGGAGTCATTCTCACTTGAACCAACCCCTATATAGGGGGCGGTTCAGGTGAGAATGCACCTTGGTGAAAGAAATAAGAATAAAATCTAGCCTTTAGATTTGATGCATCGTGCGGCTCAGATTGCATCCTGCACTCAGATTTTGAGATTATGCATTTTCAAGGGATTATGGTGCATTTCTACATGATGCATTTTCAAACCATTTTGGTGCATCTAATTTTGATGCAATCCTAACCCTTAGATCTCACAATCTAATGCATCAGATTCATTCTTATTTCTTTCATAAGATCGCATTCTCACCTGAACCAATATATATATATATATATATATATATATATATATATATATATATATATATATATATATATATATATATATATATATATATATATATATATATATATATATATATATATATATATATGTGATTGGATATAGCCAAATGAGGGGTAATTTTGCAATAACCAAATAAAGGGGGTGATGGGTGGGTAGTAGTCATTAGGGGTAGTAATGTCCCCTATTATTTTGATATTATTACTTGCTTATATTTTTACGACAGAAATAGAGTGAATGTGATTTTCACTTAACACTTCCAAATTAGATTTCAATCTCATTTCTGGAATCAGATTGTCAAAATTAGAATAATAGTATAGTCAAAAGAGTATTCTTTCAACTTTATACTTTCTTAGTTTGCGTCTCTCTATGTCATTAATTAATTCTTTAACGCTAATAGACCCGCTAATTAAGGGCCTGTTTGGGAATAACGTTAGAGATTAGCGTTAGCGTTTTAGATAAAATTTTAACGGTGCAGATTAATTTGAAAACGCTAACGCTAAACGCTGCCCGTAGATAGCCTTTTGAAAACGCTAACGCTAATCTCTAAAGCTATTCCCAAACAGGCCCTAAAACTCTTCACATTTATATAATAAAATTACTCATCTCTTGGAATGGCCTTTGGATGATTAAAATCTCTGAAATTATATTTAATTATTTAAAACAAATACTTCCTCCGTCCCAGTATTTTCTTCTCGTAGCACGTCACGATATTTTCAAATCATTTTATATGAAAAATAGTGTGGAATTAAAAAATTAAAAATTACATATTTTAAACAACATCAAAAGATCTAAAAAATTAAAGGTGATATAACTATATTATTTTATGAAATGAGCAACTAAAGTAAGCAATAAAGTAAAATAAAATTTAACCCTATGAATAGTAATAAGAAAATATTTTTAGACAGAGGGAGTCATTCATTATAAATACGGAAAAACATTTGTTTACTCAAAATAGCA